CTAGTGATCCGGTAAGCAACCCTGTAGCATATCTATGTACCGAGTGGCCACTACTCACTGATAGGTCTAAGTAGGACTCTACCTTGGTGGGGAGAGTCTCATCGGGTGATCTTACTTGCTCATTCATGGGACGATCGAAAGGACTGTCATGGTTTCCGTAGTTGGGAGCGTCCCATGCCATTCCTGGACACGAGTCCAGGCTATCATCGACGACAAAAGATTGCTCGGAGCTGTGACTGAAGCTGGGCTGAGAGTTGTGAAGAAGGAGTGGATCGAGAGCAGACAGGTAATTCCCACTGCCCTGAAGGTAGCAAAACCGTTGATCGTCTATGATAGATTGTTGCTGAAGCTCATCAGAGCCTTGGACATTAGGGCGTGTGCCAATCTGTGGAGACTTCTCCATCTCGTGCTCGGCTTCAACACTATCATACTGCTGGCCGAAGGGTACATCGGCGTTGCTCGTGGTATCACCAGAACACCATGGATGGCACTCGAGTTGCTCAGGATCCGTATGGATTGGAGGTTGCGACACCAAAACTTCACCAACATGGCCGCCACGACCTTCGAGGGCGTCAGGCATGTGTCGGTCTTTGTTCCCATCTGAGCCTGGCCTGGAAGGCTCCTGCTGCTGACGATCAGGTGGACCTGTCGGCGGAAAAGCTTGCAATTTGAACATCTTCTCGATACTGCCGAAGAGCAGCAAGATTGAAGTTCTCTCTGTGGACTAAACTTCGTGTTTTTCGTCCTGTTCTCGATATGACTGAGTGGTAACGATGCGAATTTTATCAGGTCACCAAGATGTTTGTTTGTGGCGCCCTGCCAGACTTGAGGAAGAATGGCAATCGAAAGAGAGACGAAGATTTCGTTTCTGTGAAAGATTCAGACTTCTTGTGGATTGGTTCCCCGATGGATGATGAGATGAACCGAAAGCGAGTTGTGTTGATGCGGGTTCGTTCGACGAAGTGAGGGAACTAGGCGTAAGAATGGAGGACCTCCAACCCACTCCACTATCGCTTCAACACTATTAGGTGGTCCCGTTATACCACTTTGACAAATTCTGGGATGCCCGACGTATGCAAAGCCAGCTGGCAAACACAGCGCGTCGGTCTTTGACAATGTCAGCGTCCGACGAGCACCTGCACCATCGAGCGCGCGAATACCCACCTATGCCCAGACGTTTATGAGCAACGCCTCAAACTTTCTCCACTTCTTGTACCACGGTCAATGGGGTTTACTCGAAGATGTCTTTCGTTGCTGGTGTAATTCTTTCTACTATTGGCGTTGCTGATGACAGCAGCGAAATCGCTCGGAGTTGCCCTGGTATACGACTGAGGCGAAGACCAATGCAGGACCTCCTGCTGGAACCGACGGTAATGGTGTCTATTTTTGATACGAGTAGACGGCGGCAACGGCGATAGTGAGGATGGGGAGGTGGTGAAGGTTGCGATGATAGAGGCCGGGATGAGGAAGATTTTGATAGAGGATTCAGGTGCACACGGAAACAGAACGTGCAGACAATAGATGGCCAAAAGAGGTCGCGATCGTCCGAAAGCCTGCCGTGCTTGATAGGGTAGAGTGGTACTCCCGACAGAGACCGTTGTGGCTTGTCAGAAAACGACTATTAGTGCACGTTAAAGGGCGTCCCATGGCCCTCTGGATCGCGAAAAACTCTGCCCAGATGGATACAAGGTTGGGCAGTGGGCGGCTTAGCGATGTACCGAACAGCGCGACGTGTCACACAATAGCGACCTCCAAGATGATGGTCGAGGAGAAGAAAGAGCAAGGCTAGCCAAAAATCGTGAATAGGCATGGATCTTCACCGGATCCTGCTGGAGGTAAGTAGTAAGGCAACGCTGCTGCTGAAACATGTTCTAGCGTCTCGGTGCTATATTACTTGCCTTGCCAACAGACGCGTTGCGAGCCCCTTTCAAAGAAGAAGCTTGGCTTGTAAACAGGTGTGCTCTGGCTTGAACACTCCAGACGATAGCTAATTTCGTAAGCAGGCCGCAGGTCGAGCTTTGTTCTGGAAAGGCAGGTTTTGTGCCATGGCAGGGTGTCCCTGATGTGCATGAAAGTTTTTTACAACTGACCTGTACAGGCTGCGCCGGGTGGTGACGCTAGGAAGCTGTGTAAGATCGTTTCTGCACAGGCAGTCTCATTGACTATGCGTGCTGAAGCGCACTCTGGTATACCAGGCAGTGTCGATTATCCTGACGGGTCGGCTCTACCATCAATCAACGCAGGTATATCTGATCTCTTGAACGTTGTGTGCCTGTCCGCCTGTGGATATGGCGGCGGCACATGGCGACTGCGCCCTGCCATGGCTTGCTCCGGGCCCACTCTGACCTAGGTATGCTTGATGATGAGTGACTTCTGCCATGTTGGCAGTGTCTTCATACGCTCAGGAAGGCGGCGAGGTTGACTTAAGGCAGAGATTGCTTGGACGGTGGGAACTCGAGCAGCCAGATCGCATCGCACGATATTTCGATGAGCTGGCTTGCCGGGATGCCAGAGTGATGCTGCTTCTGCATCGCGATTTGGCTGGCTAGCCTGGATCTGACGCATGCGCTCACTGCACAGATCGAATATGCAGGAGCTAGCTCAAATTCGTACAAAAGATTTGAAGTAAAGCAGATGGGTAATTTTGAAGAGAAGCAAACTCGAATCCTTTCTTAGAGGTAGGCAAGGCATGAGTTCTTATTACCACCATGTCAGCCACCCACGACTGAGGGGCCCTCGCATGTACTATGCCTAGGAGCCGCAAACAAGGATAGTATGGATCATCTGAAATAATTCAAGGGGGTTATTACGTCTGCAGCATACTACTCTGACCTGCAGTTACGGAACCCCGTTGGGAAATAAGCAACCCTCAGCCCCTCCGGGTTCTCATTATCTCTAGGCTTGTATCAGCCAACTCACTATTTTTGCTGTCACATGCAACATTTAAGCCTACTTTGCTATCTCTTTCTGCTTGCAAATTTCTTGTTGTACGAGCAGACGAGGTATAGCAAACATGCCACGCCGGTTTAAACACCAGATAGCTCAACATACAGTCAGTTTTACAATCGCTGACTTGAATAAGCCTCCTCTGGACTGTTGGAATGGTCATCGGTGAAGCTGTTGCCGCCAGTTTGCCAATAGATGTCACTTCTCCATCACCCTTTTCCACCCGTGGCCCCTCTTCTGATATGCAGGGCTCCACAAGCGGGTTGTAGTTCGCAGAACATGCAATAAGCAAGTTCATCTGTCGGTGTAATGATCAGGTTGTTTTGAAAAAATGGCGTCAATTATTTCGAATGCCGAAGTTTTCATAGTCCTACCATATATATGTATCTAATCTTTCTCAATCGAAGTCACAACAGACCAGCAACCAAGCCCTCCAAACACATCCTCTACAACAGTCCCTTACAGCTCCTCAGCCGCTCGACCCGATCTCTCCTTCACACTACAATGCATCAAGGGTTTCTACGCTCTGTAAGGCCAAGATAAGCGAAAAGAGGCGTCTGCTCCACACCTCCCAAGTCCAACATGGCAGGTGACAGACCAGCTGAGCCGGAGCCCCATCGACCCTCCAACTACGATGGACCAAACCCGTTGTACGAGCCAGTTCTAGGCGCTTAATCTGTTCTCTCATCAGCCACTTAATAAATGCATCAATAAAGAACAATGGCATTTGGCCAGCCTTGCTGCATGCGCTCGCTAGCCGATGAACGCCCCCACTCGCATGCATAAACGCCCATGAGCAGTACACCACCATCACCTGCGGTAGTTGTGGGAATCTATCGAGACCGTATTAAACGCTGCAGTCGGCACTCTGTGGCTTTCTATTTTCTTGGTTGAGCGATTAAAGATGCATGCATCGACATCATTCTTCCAGTCTAGTGAGCGCGCACGTGCATTCGCATTCGCAAGGCTCCACATATATACCATACATGATTCGACGGCTTGAAGATATACGACGAACTTGACAGCGTATTAGCTTCAGGAAGAGGCAGCATGTCAACTGACCATAGGAAAAATGGGTCCGTCCATAGACTAACGCAAAGTCGTAATCCGTAGATTAACCAGACCCTACCATGCAGGGGTCTATAGCCTAGTACACTTATTTCGCACATATAATATTAATTATATAGAAATATATTTATAATATATTTATAATATATTATATTCTTTAATATCTATCTTATAGACAACTTATTCTTCCTCTATAATTTAGTACTTAATAAGCTAGAGGTGCTTAATCTTAAACTAGACTTTACCCTTAGTAATCTAGTTAAGACTATTATAATTAAAGAAGATACTATAAAGGAGGATATTTAGTCTCTAATACCTATTCTAAGAGTTTATTCTATTTATAAATATATTAAGAATATATTTATAATACGTTAATATAGGATTATATCTATTTATCTAGGGGAAATAGTAAGGGCAACACCCTTAAGGCTAAGACTATTATATAGCTCTCTACTATTCTATAGTATCCTATAAGCCTAGAAAAAGGCTATGCGTACTATATACGCCTTACTTAACTTGTATTTAGGGAACTAATATCTAAGAAGGCTATACTAAAGTAGGCACTTAATATAAGATACTATAAATATATTCTTAACACGTTCTAAACATGTTATAGTTCTAATATTCTAAGTTAGCTATTTCCTCTAACTAACTAATATTTAGTCCTTACCTAAATATATATAGGCGTAGATAGAAATATAAGTATATAGGAATAAAGCACTATAAATATTGTGCTGTGGCAAGGGGTGTATGAGAGAAAAACAAGGCTTAGCCTAAAAAGATAGGCGGATTGAATAGTATAAAGATATGAAGGATTAGAGGATAGAAAAGTACAACTCCTGCGACTTTACTTAAACTCTATAATATTATCTTTTTACTTATATTTCTGCATTAAACCTATATCCTCTACTATAGGATTATAACTATTAAACCTTGCCCCTCCTAATTCTCCTTATTTAAATAGGTTACTCTCCCTAATAGTTTAAATAGCAAAGCCTAAGGGGAACTTATCTTATCTTAGTAAAGGGGAGGGCCTAGTAGTATGTAACTAAGAGGACGTTTCTCTAAGTATAAGGAGGGTAGAGAAAAATTAAAAAATAGGTAGTGCTAATAATTAATATTATTAAGGCAAAAATAGTAGGCCTATATTAGGACGTGGCTAACGTGCGTTAGTAGGAATAGAGTAATAATACTAAGAGGCTAACTAGAAATACTAGAATAACTAGAATAACTAGAACTAGAACAACTAGAACTAGAATAACTAGAACTAGAATAACTAGAACTAGAACAACTAGAATAACTAGAACTAGAACAACTAGAATAACTAGAACTAGAATAACTAGAATAACTAGAACTAGAATAACTAGAATAACTAGAACTAGAACAACTAGAACTAGAATAACTAGAACTAGAATAACTAAAACTAGAATAACTAGAACTATTAGAATAATTAGAACTATAAGAAGCATTAATAATACTAGAAGTGCTAGAACACCTAGAATATTGCTACTAATAGAAAAGCTATAACAAAGGCTACAGGATAGTGTATACTATTAGTAGGAAAATAGGGCTAGGCTAAAGTTACTAACGTAACAAGAATCTACTAAAAATAAATATAAGTGCTAGCACTATTTAGGAAGGGTATTAGGGACGTAGCTACTAAGGAAGAGGAGGTAGTCTATAAAAGTAAGAGACAGGAAAGGGGGGAAGTAAGATAAGCAAGCAGATACTAACTTATCTAATAATTTTAATTAATATTATAGGTTTATACACCTCCTTTAATATTTATAGAAGCCTACTACCTTAACTAAGCCTATTCTTTTTACTAGGAATAATACCTAGAGAAAGTAATATTACCCTAGGGTTAACTAAAATAGAAACCTCTAGACCCCTAAGAAGAGTCCTTGTCCCTATAAGGCCTAGGAAAACTAACTTTTAGTTCTAGGGGAGGGAGGTTACAGAGTTCCTAAATAACTATAACTACTAGGTAGAAAATAGGGGGCTAGGCAAAGTAGATTAGCTAAAAATTCTACTAGACTTTTATAATACTATATATAGAATATTTGTAAAGAAGCTTAGACCCTACTAGAAGTAAGACTAGGAGGAGCTGCAGGAAGCTATAAAGGAGCACTAGAGGGACTAGGATATAGCCTAAAGGATAGGTACCTAAACCTTCCTAGATGCGTATATATAAGAAGCCTCTAGGAACTTCCTAGGTCTCTTAGACTACTATACTAATTTTATAGTGTATAGTAATACCTGCCTAGTATCTAAATAGCTATATAAAAGCAAGGTTAGATTCTTCTTCTTTAGAGGGTTACCCTAGGTAGATAAAGAGCTAGTCTTGCTTAGTATGCTAGGAGGGCCTAATAGTAATAAGGTAGCAAGCTATAAGCTAAAGAAGATCTATACCTACGTTAAAAGAATCTATTAGTAAAGAGAAGGAATAAAATATATATTAGCTAGCTAAATAGAGAAAGATGCTTAGCAGGTATATTAGATATTAGAATTAGCAAAAACTACGCCTATAAAGGAGGATATTATAAAGGTAGTAAAAGGTGTTAGAAAGGAGCAAGCTACTACCTAACTACTACTAAACGTTAACCTAGAAATAGACTAGTTAATTAGGGCACTAGAAAAAATAAAGATAAGTTTAGCTAAGGCTAATAAGCTATAGGAATACTATATAATAGGCCTACTACTAAAAAGCCTAGTAAACTAGCTCTACTTTATTTTATATATAACTAACGCTAGGATAGAGCAAGGAATACATTAGAATACTATAGTAATTAGGGGGTTACTAATAAACTAGCTAAGAACCTAGGGCCCTATATAAATATTAACTACTTAGCTAGGGCTATAGAGTTATAGGGGGTATAATAAGAAACTACCTACCTGTAATATATATAGATTAGAATCCTACCTAGCAAGGGACTACCCCCCCTAGCTAGAACTTATAGCGCTAGGGTAGGTAAGCACTTCCTAGAATCTAGAAATAAGAACTAGGATATTTTACTACAGACTATTATATAAAAGACTAGGGTAGGTTACTAAGCTAGCACTATAGAACCTTACTCTTTACTAGATAAAGAAAAAGTTATATAAATACTATAAAGTTACTAAGGATATCCTTAGCTAGCTAGCGTTATAGGTAAAGCTAGAACTATTTAATAGAATAGATTTAAGGGGCTAGTAGTAGAGGTAGACTTAAGGACTAGACTATCTAGTAGTAAAAAGAGCGGGAGCTAACGCAATATCTTCCTAGAATTAAGGACTAGAACTAGGAGATACTTAAAAAGAATATAAGTAGTTCTTAAACTATTAAATACTATAAACTAGCAAGGAAGACCTAGTAGTAATAACGCTAGATTATATAGACTTAAGATATATTGTCCTAGGATTAGTAGATAAGAATACTCCTAGGATCCACGCCTCTATAAGGGAGAAAGAAAAGCGAAGGGACTAAGTCTTAGAGGAAGTAAGGATAGGATTAATCTAGAAGCGCAGGCAAGGAAGACTAACATAAAACCTAGTAAACTAAGAAGAGGGGGTAAGTAAGGAGATAGAACTTAAAGAGACCCTAGAGATTCTATACCTAGCTTAGGCCTATATAGACCCCTTTGCAATAATCTAGCTACTAGATAATATAGGTAAAGGCTATACAAATTTAGGGCCTAACTAGGACCTGCTAGTAATAAGAAGAAAAGTATAGTTTAAAGAAGTAAAGAATAAGGAGCTTAAGAGAATAATACGCCTAAGCCTAAACTAAATAGCAGCTGCTTTTCTTAGATAGGAAGTCTAGGGAATTATAGTAGCTAACCTACTAGGGCAAGATTATCTACAGGAACAAATTAAGACGTTATTATAGGAACCCTAGACTTAAGTCCTGCTAGATAATAACTTTAGCAGGGTAAACATAGTAGAGCTAGGGGGCCTAAAAAGTACGCTAGTCCTAAATAGGTATCTAAAGGGTGCGCTAATTTTACCCTTTAGATATATTAACTAATTAGAGGAGCTAGAGGTAAAGGACCCTACGCTAGGTTAGCGTAATATACGCGTAATGCTAGAAGTACTTAATACCTAAGTAAGGCTCTAATTTAGATAAAACTTAGATAGGTATAGAAAAGATTTAGTTATATAAGAAGAGAAAGATAAGTCTTATACTAACTAGGAATTAAATTAGATAACTCTTTATATAGAACTACTAACCTGCTAGACTAGTATAAGGGGGAATGTAGTAAACTACCTAATTAATATAGGGGTATAAATAAATCTCTTAAGATTAAGTGCTGCGTGGGCGTTACAGGTGCCTATTAAGACACTAACCTAGACCCTAGGGCATACGCAGGGGGTAGTTATAGCTAACAGTAGGATAGACCTATTTATTAGAACCGCGTGGAATGTGCTAGTACGTATAGGGGAGGTAGAGACCCTAACTTATTTTAGGGTAATTATAAACCTAACCTACTTAGCTATATTAGGAGGTGTGGAAATTTGGATCACTAAGGTTAGGAATAATTTAGGAGATGGATTATTAGATTATATCTACTACGATTAGACTTATATATATAGAGCTTCAGCTACCCTTACTAGAAGGTGAATAATTAGTAAACCTTCCTTACTAGAGCTCCTGCTTTTTGTTAGGCACTTAGTAGTAAGCTAGCAGTTAATCAGATAGTGGGTCATATAGGGGTATTAACTAGGATTAATTAGGATTA